AGAACAAGAATTATGAAAAATGCTAGCCTCAATTTCATTCACATGACGCCTTTGTAAATACTTGCTAAGCTCTTTACATTGTTCCCTGAGATCGGAAAAAAGACAATAGTTCTCATCACCACCAGTCATTTTAAATTTTTTATGTGCTTTTTTCTTCTCATAAAGTATCATATACATATATAATACATATATAATGATCGACATATCAGCTCACTACAATAGATAGTGTCATAAAGGAAAAGATGAAGACAGACAGTACCCTGGATGTAAGCGGAAAACTTCTTATTGCCGATATCTATGTTATTGTTTTTTAACAAAACAAACTCGTTGCTTTGCTTGAGGATGAGGCAAATATTGTAAGCCTCGAAATCGGTCGCTTCTGTAACATCTTGAAAATAAATATTAGATTGTGAGTATTGATCTTTTTAATATATCTGTTCAATTATCTATTATCTATCTATTATCTATTATTTTATTAGAATATTAGCCTGTAAATAATATTTTGCAGGTTTGTATATAAAATTTATTTGTATTTTAAAGACAACAACTATAATAAACAGTTACTTGAAGTGTTTCGTACTAAAATTTATAAGAAACACTATATACTGGACACTATTGGAACACTATTTACTGGAAAAAAGCAGTAAACCATGTAGTGAAAGTATAAAATAAGTACAGAAGACTAGAACAATTATTTTTAAACAGTGGACAAGACTATTAATCTGGTGGATAGTAACGATGATGAGAGCTCGCCTACAGGAGAAATATTTTAGACAAAGTACGCTAATATGATGATTAGTTCAGTTAAAACAACTTAGTTTTTTATTATAAATTGCTAACTTTGTTTAAAACAATATTTTCTTAAATGTAAAATACTTTTCCACAGTTTCGTCTATGTACGTCGTTCGTACGTCTATGTATGTTCGTAAAACGCGAATAGGGCTTTTAAACGCTTTTCATATGTTTCAGGCACTTGTGATATGTCGTATAATTTTAATGTATCTACGTCATACGTTGTTGGTATATAGTATATTCTAATAACTATACATACCAAAGACATATGACGTAGATATATTAAAATTCTATGATATATAACAAGTGCCTAAAACAAATGAGAAGCGTTAGAAAGCCCATAGAAGATGCCGTTGTATCACCTAGTATTTTTTCCGACTGGGTGCTAGAGTGATATTTTTTTTACATTTATTTTTTAACTATTTAAAAAACAAAGAAATATAACGTTTTGTTTGTTTTTCCAAAATCAGATTTTCTGCTCTTTAACTATAGTATACACATTACACATTGTTATTTGATGGTTTAATTTTTCTTCTTTAAGTTCCATCTTCTATCGAAGGTTGGAAATCATCATGGCTATGCGGACTCTGTTGACTGCCGCTCTAAAAAGTTCTGCACTACTCCATTCAAACCATTCCCTTAAGTTCTTAAGCCAGGATATTCTTCGTCTTCCCACATTTCGCTTTCCTCGGATTTTGCCCTGCATCTCTCTCTTCAATCCTGACCCCCCAGGGGGAGTGTAGTGGTCGACGTGATGTCGTGTATTGTACGTCTCCAGAGATCTCTGTCTCTGGTCATTTCTTTTAATTCATGCATAGGTCTTTGGCATATTCCTGTAATTTGATCTATCCATCTTGTTGGGGATCTTCCTCGTGATCTTAGCCTTCTACCTTTCCTTGTATTATGAGCCTTTCCATGTTTTCTGTGTTTGCTCTCATAACATGCCCAAAATATTTTAATTGTTGGAGATGGACTTTACTAGAGAGTTGTTGGCTAACTTTTAGCTCCCTTAAAATTGAATTATTTATTCTACGGTGGGTCCAAGGAATTCGTAACATTCGTCTCCAACAGAACATTTCAGTGGCGTCTATCTTTCTTCTCTCCGATTATCTCAGAGTCCAAGATTCACATCCGTAGGTCAGTATTGGGAATATTAAGCAGTTGATCAACCTCATCTTTATCGCTCTTGAAATTTGACAGTCCTTCCATATTTTGGTCATTTTTGCTGTGGCAACTTTTGCTAGATCACATCTACGTTTAATCTTCTTGTAATGACCCTGCGTTTGTGATTAATGATCCCAGATATAAGTATGAGCTCACAACCTCGAACCGGTCAATTGTGGTTATGTGTGGATGATTGTTGTGTAGTCTATCCACTATCATGATCTTTGTCTTTGATATGTTTAATTGCAGACCAAATATTTGACTTTCGTTTTCGATCAGTCGTATAAGTTCCATCAGCTCTGCTTGACTATTTGCGAGAAGGGCTGTGTCATCTGCGAAACGTAGGTTGTTTAGTTTATGACCATTTATTGAGATGCCCTTTTCCCATCCTTCAAGTGCTCTTCGCATATTATACTCCCCATATATGTTGAATAATTGTGGATACAGTATACATCCTTGTCTGACACCCCGTTCTGGATGAAACTCGTTCTAAAGTGTGTCAAGTACTTTAACTGATCCAGTAGTGTGTTCATATAGTTCAGTTATAAGCGTAATTAGATGTTGTGGTACGCCTACTTCTTTTAGTATTCGCCATAAGTGTCTCCACTTGACCCTGTCGAACGCTTTACGGTAATCTATAAAACAGATGTATAGTGGGATGTTGAATTACCTAGATTTCTCGATTATCTGTCTTATATTCAGCAGGTGTTCTCGAGTGCCTCTACCTTTGGTAAATCCAGTTTGCTCTTGTGGAATTTCTCTTTGAAGGAATGTTTTCAGTCTCTCATTGATTATATGTAGCATTATCTTGCTGGCATGGGATATAAGAGAGATAGTTCTATAATTGTCGCATTTATGGAAGCTGCCTTTTTTATGTATGGTCGTTATTGTAGATTTTGTCCAGTCTTCAGGCCATTGTTTGGAATGCCATATTTGGTTACAGAGTAGATGAAGTAACTTTACGCCGGTTTCTTCTGTAGCTTTAAGCATTTCTGCTGTTATCATATCTGGACCTGGTGCTTTGTTATATTTGAGCTTGTTGATAGCCTGTCTTACTTCATTTTCGAGTATATCAGGTTCTTCTTCCACCTCGTCAGAGATTTGGCTAACAAGCTCTTGACGTTGATCATGTTTATATAGGTCCCTGCAATACGATCTCCATGTCTCTGCATAATAAGTTGTAATAATGCGTATTTTTGAACTCTCATCACATGTCCCAAGTACTCAAGTTTTCGTCTTTTAATAGTTAATATTATTTTCGCCTCATTTATTATCCTTCTAGTTACTTCCATGTTTGACATTTTTTGAATCCATGATATTCGTAGGATTCTTCTGTAACACCAAAATTCAAAGGCGGCCAAGTTATACAGATGAACTTGTTTTGGTGCGTGAATTTGGTGCATGTTCTCGACGATAATGTGCTATTATCGGATTGAATAACTGTACGTGTTGTTTGATACGATCGGTATCAATTTTCCATTTACCTGGATGACGTCCTCTTTTATCAGGAACAGGTATTATGGTCGTAGCTGCTGGAGTGTTTCGAATAGTTTTCAAAATTCGGTCATTGTTAACATCAAATCCCAGAGTAGAAAGAAGAAAAGTTTTGCAAACATTAACTTCATCACCAGTTATATTTTTCAGGTAATACTTGAACGTATTTCTGCGACATGTGTTTGTTCCAGCTGTTCTTCGTTTTATATCGAACCGCCTTATACAACCGTATATAAATGTATTTCTGGCGTCTGCACTCATTTTCCACACTAGTTGATTAATAACTTGCTGTCTCTGGACATTAATTTTTGATGCACACTTTAACTTGCACTGTTCTGGATTACATGGTTGTTTAATGAAATGTTTTTGCTTCAAAGAATCTGTTTTTTGCTTTTTTCTAATAGCTGGTGACAAATCATACTTTTTGCGTTTTCTGATTGTATCTTTCTTTGTATAAATTTTATCACTTTTCAGCTCAACAGTATGGATTACGTTTTGCACGATATTATCAAGTAGCTGCTTAATAAAAGGCAAAGTTTTGTCTGCAACATCGATGTCCACATCATATTCGTTAATATTATTGGAAAAGTGTTTGTTAGTTGATATAATTTTATCCTCACCCGGGTTAAGTGTTGTTTCTGAAGCTGTAGAAGATTCTGCTGCATTAAATTCAACTTCTGCATCAGCAAATTCTCGTTTTTTTCTTTTTCTTGCCGTCAATGCGTATTTCTTCTCGAAACTGTTTATTATGCAATGCTAATGCAACTAATTTTTTCCCCCTGTCCATTTTCCTGAAGAAAAACAAAAATTTACTGACTACTCAATTATTATTTATATTTATTTTTACTTACCACAGCGAATCAAAAAGTACAATAGTTAATACACTTAGTTTACTAGTATTACGAAAATAAGCCTGCTTGCTGCAAGCGTCACAAAATACAAATGAAATCAACAAAAATTATTACATCCAATTATCTATTAAACATCTATATGACGCGATCGGGTATTCACATCATTTCACAGAATAATTCCCCTAGTCATATATTTCGTATAAGCGCTAGGTCAACATTAATTTCACCAGTTGAATGATTTCAACATGACTTATTTAGTCAAAAAGTCCTATCTTCACAATTTGATGCAGACAGAACGCTTTAACTAAGTAGTCAGTATATAGGATAATTATTCTAAGCACAGCGGTTGTTAGTTGTAGAAAGGACAAACAAATTTATGATTTTGTACGATTTGAGGTGGCAGAAAGGATTTTCTGACTAAGTAATAAGATGATAAACGTCTAATAGTAGTAGAATATAACCTTATCTAGAAAAAACGAAAATTGTAGATCGGACGTTTTTACTAAGCAGGGCAGTAGTGCAGTAGTACTATTTCATTAAGTAGGTATTCCAATTGAAACAGGTTATTTGTTTTTTAATATGTATCAATCCCCATTATACTTCGTTTATTATTGAATCGCCTGTTTCCGATGTAAGATGTAGTTTAGGTTACAAATAATAAATTTTTCTTTGGTAATGGAAATTAGACGAAACGTTTGAACAAGAACAAAGTGTTTTATTAATTTAATAATTAACGGAACATATTCACGATGTCTAATTTAATTTAATAAATTTAGGCTTATTTTCTTTAATTCCCCTGATCTGATTGTGTACTTATCTGGTATCCACTGGGAATACGGAACAAGCAGGGTAATATTTCTTTAAAACAAGGAATGCAGCAAATTAATCTTATTATTATAAGCCAAGATAGTAGTAGCATACCAATAAAGATTCCAGACCAGAGATGATCATCTTTGCTACATACACTTTCATCGGTTGTTTTCGTTTGACTAAGGTTTACTTTTTCTAGTTTTTGTAATCTGGTATTAATGTTAGTTAATACATTTAGAAAGTGATCATCTTTGATAGGGAAACATTTTATCATTGATTCGTTTGTTTCTTTTGTAGTGTTCAAAAAATTTAAAATCTGAGTTAGGTTTAGGTCCATATTTTGTAATTTATTAATTATTTCCATCCTTAAATTCAAGATGTGATCATCTTTGAGATGTATCATTGTCGATGGTGTTCCAGTGATTTCACTTGCTTCAGCTTGTTTCATTGTATTGTTTAAAAAATTTACAAGCTGAACCAGGTTTACTTTATAAAGTTTTTGTAATATGCTATAGTTTGTCGTACACAAATTACTATAGTTGTGATAAGCTGTAAAAAATTCATGAAAAATAGCTTGGCGTTCACCAAAACTTAGTGATTTTAAATGTTCTTGCTCCAACGCTATCAAGTTATTTTTCGAAATAATCTCTTTATCGACTTTGGTTGCAGTTATACCTTCCAGATATGTTGCATACACATCATTTTCCTTGACGTTCTTCAGGCTGATAAAATAAGAAGGCGTAGCGTGGTCGTTGATAATCAGGAAAGTGTTACCTAAAAGTAAAACAATATAAAATACCATATAAAAAATAGAAATCTTAAAGATACATTTTAAATGAAATTTAAAATAAAATCACTAGATTTCCCTAGAGACGATTATGACTCTTCGAAAGCTTCGTAAAAACAATTTAAGCAAATGAAGATATTACCATATTACATTTTATTGCAATATTGTAATAAAGCAAAGTACAACAGCATCTTCTTCTTCTTTAAGTGCAGTCTCCCAGTTGGAGGTTGGATATCATCATCACTATCTTTACTCCATCTACTGCTGCTCTGAAGAGTTCAGTAGAACTTTAAACTTTTAAACCAGTCCATTAAATTCTTCAACCATGACGATCATCAAGGCTATCAAGGTTTTGTTGACTGCTCTGAGAAACAGCTCCGCTGAGGTCAACCCAAACCATATACTCCTTCCTCGTCTTATATTTCCCTGTATTATCAGCCTTAGTAGTTCATATCGCTGTCCCCTCCTTACGTGTCCCAGATAATGTAACTTTCTTATTTTTATTGTGGTTATTATTTCGCATTCTTTGTCCATTTCTCGCAATACTTTCGTGTTAGTTTTCTTCTGTGTCTATGCTATTCTAAGCATCCTCCTGTAACACCACATTTCAAAGGACTGTAACTTATTTATGTGTTGTTGCTTCAATGTCCAGCTTTCAAGTCCATATTGAAGTATCGAAAACACGTAGCATCTCAGTGCTCTTACTCTCAGTTCTAATCTATCTTTGTTGCTGAGAATTGTTTTCATTGTAACAAACGCATTTCTTGCTATTTCTATCCTAGCTCTTATTTTGGTTGTTTGATCAGTATTGTCTAAAATCCAGGTTCCTAGGTATTTGTATTTATCAACCCTTTCTATCTTCACATTTCCCAAATGTATGTTTGTTGGTATATTTGTTTTTTTTTGTTATTATCCTGTATTTGGTCTTTTTTATATTCATTTTTAGTCCATATTTTTTCACAGAAATTGTTTGTTTTGTTTAGCAGTAATTGGAGTTGTTCAGCGGAGCTTGCCATAATCACGGTGTCATCTGCATATCTTATGTTGTCAATAAATCTTCCGCTAATTACTATACCTTCACTTTGAGATAATAATGGTTCTGCAAAAATGGCTGTACTATATACATTAAATAGTAATGGAGACATAATACATCTCTGCGTAACTCCTCTCCTGATTTCAATTTCTGGACTGGGTTCGTTATCTATTACGATTTATGCTCTTTCATTCCAGTAGAGGTTTGTTATTATTCGTAAGTTCCTATGGTCTTTGTTTTTTGTCTTTAGAATTTGGACTAATCTTTCATGTCTTACTTTGTCAAACGCTTTTTCAAAATTAACGTAACAAATATGCACATCAACATTCATATCCATGCATCTTTGAGCTAACACATTAAAAGCAAATAACGCTTCTCTGGTTCCTAGTTCGTTTCTGAACGAAAACTTCTTCTTCTTCAAGTTCCACTCCTATCGGAGATTCGAAATCATTCTGGCAATTATAATTTTATTGGTTACTCGCCTAAATAGTTCAATTGAACTGCATCCAAACCATTCACGGAGATTGCGTAGCCACGAGATTTTACGTCTTCCTACGCTTCTTCTACCTTTAATTTTACCCTGCATTATATTCCTTAGTAGTTCGTACTTTTCACCTCTCATTATGTGCCCCAAGTATTCCAATTTCCTGATTTTTATGGAATTTAAAACTTCGCATTGTTTTCCTAGTTGTTCGAGAACTTGTTCGTTTGTTTTGAAGTTTGCCTAGTTTGAAGTGTTTTTCTTATTCCTGTTAATTCTCTAATTCTTTTATGCATGTTAAAAAAGTTATATTTTTTCTCAATTTCTTCTAGTTCTTGGCACTGCTCATGTAACATTCTCTCCTTAGCTTCTTTTATTCTCTTTTTTATTAATCGATCAGTTTCATTATATTTAATTGGATTTTTTGTTTTGAATGATTTTCTTTCATTCATTAATAGTAGTATTTCTTCAGTCATCCAATCTTTATGTTTTCTATTCTTTGGTTTTAAGTTTTCATTTGCTGTTTTAAGTATTACTACTTTTATATTTCCCAAAATCTGATCAATGTTATAGCTACTTTTATTCCGTTCTTGGGCATTACGTAGATTTTCAGTAAGAGTTTTTACAGTTTGTTCCTTTGTTTGTGGTTCCCTTAATCTCTTAATATCAATTCTACTTTGTGTGGGGTTTTTAACCAGTTTTAATTTGGTTCGTAATGTGACTACTATGGAGTTATGGTCTGAACCGATGTCTGCTCCAGGGTAAGTTTTGGTAGACAGTATAGAATTACAAAATCTTTGTCTAATAAGGACAAAGTCAATTTGATTTCGGATTATTCTATTCGTTGTATCACCGGGAGATTTCCATGTATACAATCTTCTTTTTGGTAGCTTAAAAAGTGTATAAGCTATTACAAATTCTTCCGTCTGGCAAAATTGTATCAAACGGTCACCACGTTCATTTCTATTTCCTAGACCATATTCTCCCATATATTCATTCACTCTTCCGTGGCCAACTTTGGTATTGAAGTTGCCTATTACTATTGCAGTGTGATGTTTCTTCATTGATTTTAAGACTTGTTCCAAATCATGGTAAAACAGTTCGATATCGTCGTCATCTTCATCTGCCGTAGGAGCATAAACTTAAATAAAATTGACTATACCTTTTTTAGACTGTAGTTGTATTGATAAGATCCTATCAGAATAAGGAGTAAAACTTATCACAGAGTAATTGACCTTTTTGGCAACTAAGATAGCAACACCATAGCGATGATTGACCCCTTTGTTACCTGAATAATACATGGTTCAATTATTTGTAATTTGTTTGCCTGAACCTGGCCACTGTACGTCACTTATACCTAAAACATCAATCTGGAGGTTTTCCATTTCAACCAGTACGTTCGCTAATTTACCACTTGCATATAAACTTCTGACATTCCAGGTTGCTATTTTCAATGTCTTAAGTCCACAGGGATTTCTCTGGTTTACGACCTGGGAGGCCCTGTGATCTACAGTTATTCCTCCCCTGCCGGATCTTGGATTCCGTGCTCCATAATTATATAAGTAAGTTTGTTTACTCTACTTGTCATTCGCCATTCATGAATTTACTAGGGGTACTCTAAGAGTCTTTAATGCAGTGGTTCCCCGTTGCCTTCTGCATCCTTACGCCGTTGACATATTTTTCGATTCATCCGCCTTTAGGACCAGTTTCCCAACCCTTGGACAAAAGAGTGCCCTTCCACTTATTAACTCACCCGCCCGCAGCCGTTGGTCATAAGTGGGGAATTGCTTATACCGGCAATCATTCGGTGAATTACCTGTTGGTCCACGGGAGGTATTTTATTTCCCTCCCACCCACCGGTAAACCGGGTCGGGCATTCCCCTATTAGCCACCTAGGGACGCGCTCTCTACAGGTTACAGGTTCCTAGGAGAGTTCCTCCAACGAAAACTGACTATCATCTATTCCTTCTTCCAGTTTTTTATTTATAGGGCCATGTATCATTTTTAGGAATAATTTGAGAATGTGACTTCTTAGTGATATTGTTCTGTATTCACTACAATATTTAGCGTTTGTATTTTTAGGAATAGCACAAAAGGTACCATTGTTTCGGTATGCGTCTTTTGTATATTGAGTTAAATAAATCTACTATAATGTCTCACCATTCATGCATTTTAAGATTTATATAGGGATTTCTTCTGGACCTAATGCTTTACCATTTTTGCTGTTTTTTGTCATTTTAATTTCCTCTTTTAATATCATTAAAACCATATCCTCTTCTACTTCTATCTCCATCTGTTCTGTTCTATTGTTTTTGAACAGTTCATTGATGTATTCTGTCCATCTTTTTAATTTCTCGTTAGTATTCAACACAAGTTTCCCATTTGTATGTTTCAGTATTCCCGGTTTTCTTTTTCTATTGTTGTGAGTTACTTCTTGAATTTCTTTATGTGTTAATCTATCATGTCTTTTCTGGTATTCTTCTATTTCTGCGCATTGTTCTTTTAATTGTTCTTTTGCTTTCATAATTCTGTATTTTATTTGTTTATCCACTTTTTGGTATATCTGATTATCTTTGTTCTTATATTGACGTCTTTCTTCCATTAAATCTAAAATTTATTCCGTCATCCATTGCTTTTTCTTATATATGGTTAATATTAGAATTTCTTTTTGACTTTTATTTATTTCTGTCTTTATTAATAACAATTTTTTTTCCGTCTCAGTATTTCGCAGAATTTGTTCTTTAACATTTATTAATCCGTTGTTGATTTCATCTGCCAGGCGTTGCTTTATGAGCGGGTTCCTTAGTTTACTTGCATCGATTTTTGTATTTGTTGTTCTTCGTTTTATTATTTTCATTTTGAGCCTAATTTTGGTCACTACTGGGTTATGATCTGATCCTATGGCGGCACTTGGTACGGTTTTTGCGGATATAATTGCATTCCTGTATCTTTGTCTAACTAATAATAGTCTATTTGGTTTTTTACAATTCTCTTGTCTTGATTTGCTGGCGAGTTCCAGATATATAGTCTTCTCTTTTGAACCGGACGTCCAAGCATTTTGAACAATGTATTAGCTATAACAAAATTATTGTTTTGGCAAAATTTGATAAGCCTGTCACCCCTTTCGTTTCTGTTTCTCAGGCCATATCCTCCTGTACATTCTCTTACTTTTTCTTCCCTACCCTTTGCGTTAAAGTCTTTCATTATAATTGTTACATCTTGCATTTTAATGGATTTTAAATTGTTGTCTAGGTCTTCGTAAAAAGTTTCAATATCGCTCTCTGGTTTGTCTGCAGTTGGAGCATAAACTTGTAGGATGTTTATTTTGGGTTTGTTTTTGTTTAATTGTAAGAGTATAATTCTGTTGGAGTATGGGGTGAAATTTATTATAGCTTCAACAATGTTTTTGTTTAATATTATCCCGACACCATATATGTGTGAACCATCTTGACTTCCTGAATAATATATTGTTT